AACCCGAACCCTAACCCGAACCCTAACCCTAACACTAACCCAAACCTAACCCGAACCCGAACCCGAACCCGAACCCAAACCCTAACCCTAACCCTAACCCTAACCCTAACGCCTAACCCCTAACCCTAACCCTAACCCTAACCCTAACCCCAACCCTAACCCTAACCCCTAACCTCTACTTTGACCCTACCCCCACCTCTCACCCTAACCCTATCCCTACCCCTAACCCTCACCCTAACCCTGACCCTACTCCTGACCCTACCCCTGACCCTACTCCTACCCCTGATCCTGACCTTGACCCTGACCCGGACCCGAACCCAAACCCTAACCCTGATCCCTAACCCGAAGCCTGACCTTGACCCTAACCTCTAACTCTCACCCTCACCTTCTCCCTTAACCCTAACCCCTGATCCTGACCGCAACCCCCAGCCCAACCCTGACCCTACACCCTGACCCTGATCCTTACCTCGGCCTATCCCTATCCCTAACAGAATGTGGCAAAGAATCTAACTATATTAGACATGTATCAAAAAACTCACTGTAGGTGGTGGGGCAAAACGTGCTGACCTAAGTATCTTTGGAAATGAAATGAATCTGTAAAGTAAAGGCAAAATGTACTGTACATAAACGTGGAGTCTATTTTATAAAATTTACCATGGGGGTCGTAGCTAGCAATTCTAAAGCCACTATATCTGTAATCCGGAATGGAGCAATGAGTTAAATAAACGACAGATGGTGGGAGTCAGGTTCCTCACTGTTGGAGGGGAAGGTGAGGGATAAGCAAGGGGAGAAGGTCGCAGTACCCATGTGAAGATGCAGCAGGTTGGTGACATCAGCATAAACTCATCTTTAGCTAAATACAGACACAGACAGTTCCACAGAAATCTTTACAACGAGGTGTGTGTACATAGGTTGGAATACACGCATATACTTCCTTGGATTGTCAGCTGAGCACATTTAGTTCCCACATGTAAGTTTTAATACCATTCTCTAATAGAAGGAACCAGGGCTCTTGAAGAAATGGCTGATACTAGGACTGAGACATTATTTTATGTCCCATTACAAACATGTTGCCAATTAAACTGTGACTATCTCAACAAAAGAAAAAAAATTGTTGATGAATTTACTTCCACTAAAGCCAGACAGTACACTTTTAATAAATTCTGGTTTGGGTATATATAATATATTTAAACTTAATATTGCGATTTTTAATACACCTACTTTTGAACATGTCAGTATATTTTTTTCAACTGTGTTACCACTGTAACACAAAAGGAGCATCACAACCCTCATGAGAGCAAGGACACGGGCGGCTGGCCCTGGTGGCCGGTGGGACTGGCCCGTCCCCAGGTGCACCTACAGCTGGAGATTGTCTCAGGGTTTCTCCTTTCTCTTCTCTGCGGGGACATCTCCTCGGGAACAACCCGCATCTGGAAGAAGTACTACGCGTGCGAAGCCTTAACGCAGGGATGCTTTTGTCAAATACGTCCCGCTGGCCACTCGCGTCCTCACCGGCACGCGAGGCCGAGTCCGCGGACGGGATACGCATGCGCTCCACACGGGTCGGCGCAGGGGGTTCGGGCGCCCCCTGCTGTCCACCGGGGCGCAGCGCAGGACGCACCGGGCCCACGGCTCCGCGGGACGGATTAGTCCCCTCTGGGCAGGTCCGGGGACTCCCTGAAATTCAGTGTTATGATTATTCAGGGCCATAATTTGGAAATTCCAAATGAAATGGAGCCCACCACTCCTGTGCCTTGATCAGAAAAGACACACAACAAAAAGCAAAGTAGCGGGTCAATATACAAAAGTAATTTGATTTTCTATGTATCAGTGCTTGATCTGAATGTTTGTGTTGCCCCAAAATTCACGTTGGAATCCTAATGCCCAATGTGATGGCGTTAGAACGTGGGGCCTTTGGGAGGTGATTAGGTTGTTAGGGTGGAGTCCTCAAGAATGGGACTAGTCCCCTTATAAGAGAGACCCCAGCCCCTTCCCTCCATGTGAGGATATGAGAAGCCAGCCACCAGAAAGGGAACCCTCCCCCTACCATCCTGGTACCCGGATCTCAGACTTCCAGCCTCCAGAACTGAGAAATTTCTATTGTTTATAAGCCACCCAAAATACCAAAATGGTGTTTTATAGCAGCCCAGATGCACTAAAACAATCAGCAATGACGTATAGGAAAAATCGGAATTTGAAATGAAAAACAAAAGGAAACCCATTTACAATAACACCTCAAAAACTGAAGTCCTGACCCTGACCCTAACCCCTGATTCTGTCCCTGACTCCTAGGCCTTTGCCTCTGACCTTGACCTCTGGCTCTGACCCTGATCCTAAACCCTAACTCTAAATCCTGACCCTGACCCTAAACCCCCATCTTAAACCCTAGGCCTGGCCCTGGCCCCTGGCTCCTGACCCCAACCCTGACTCTAAACCATAAACCTAAACCCTCATCCTCACCCCTTGCTGCCCCATAACACATGTTGCCATTACCCAATTATCTTTTATTTAGCATTTTCACAATACAGGAAAATTGTGCCAAAAAACTAACCACAGACACTCTTCAGACACCTATTCTTTCATGTAGTCAGAGGAAGCCACTATTCTATTTGGGTACTCTAACCTCAGGTGCCTTCCATAACTGTACTAGAACGGTACAGAAATAAGCAATAACACAAATACAGAAAACACGTGCCTATTAATAAAGGTGAAAAGTTTATTTTTCAAGATTTTATGAAAAAACATAGTCAAGAATTTCAATCCCACACAGGAAACAGAAGCCATGCTAAGAAGGCTAAGGGCCGGCCCCGTGGCTTAGCAGTTAAGTGCTCGTACACCACTACTGGCAGCCCAGGTTCAGATCCTGGGCGCGCACCGACGCACCCCTCGTCCAGCCATGCTGAGGCCGCGTCCCACATACAGCAACTATAAGGATGTGCAACTACGACATACAACTATTTACTGGGGCTTTGGGGAGAAAAAGAGAAAAAAAAAGGAGGATTGGGGCCAGCCCCATGGCTTAGCAGTTGGGCTCCCGCTCCACTGCTGGCGGCCCGGGTTCGGATCTCGGGCGTGCACCAACGCACCGCTTGTCCTGCCGTGCTGAGGCCGTGTCCCACATACAGCAACTAGAAGGATGTGCAACTATGACAAACAACTATCTACTGGGGCTTTGGGGGAAAAAAAAGGAGGAGGAGGATTGGCAATAGATATTAACTCAGGGCCGGTCTTTCTCAGCTAAAAGAGGATTGGCATGGATGTTAGCTCACGGCTGATGTTCCTCAAAAAAAAAAAAAAAAAAAATCAATAAAAAAAAATATTTACCCATGTACATCAGCTCATTAAAATCTTTGTTTCAAATTTCTTGCTTTAATCCCCTGAAAGTTCCAGACTGGCAAAAGTATTTTTACATACACAGTTGACTTTTACACTACATACTTAATATTTATAAATTTGATATTTGTTTTACACAGGTCTATGGCTTCACTACTTTCAAGACAAAAGTCACATAAAAATACAGTCTACTCAAAACGTACGAGTCAACAGTGGTCTCGCATGTGGTTTACAACACAGAGCTTCAGACAACAGACTATACACATCTCCTCTGTCTGAAAACAGAAAGTAGTGTACCATACTGAACTCTGGTACAAGGTGCTCCAGCACAGGAAAACTCAGTTGCAATTCTCCTTTATTTTTAACAAACACCAAACTATTTCACATATATTATACCTATACATATTTTTAACCAAATTCTGGTTTAAAAATCACAAACTGAGAACAGGTAAATACAAAATGTTAGGAAAGGTTTAACATATATAGGGAACAACACGTCCTATGCATTATAACAAGTTTTTACAATCTAGCATAAAGGCAAATGTGGTTTAAAAAAACATGAAGTCCATATACAATATATATATAGGGAAAAAAATTTAGTCAAGCCACCTAATATAACAGATTTCACAGATATCATTTAATATTATATCCAAAAATGTCCATGTATTGCAGAGGTCTCTACATACCAATTAGAATAATGTCAAAAAGGATCTGCAAACTATGAAATGTTAGCAAGGACATAAATCATGCGTTTCTCTCTGAAAGAATGATGCTGAACTTTGAGTTAAAAGGCAGATAAACACAACTATGAAGTAACCTTCTTTACAATATCTTAAATTTACAAATCTAGGGCAATATACGTTTTCCCAGCTATGCATACACACAGCATCCTGTGATAAAAGTGATTCAGTTACTAAAAAAAGCAGAAAAGGGAAAAAAAAAAAAAAAAGCAGAACTCAGTTAAGCTGGTAAAACCACAAAGACAATGAACCCCACAACTCCCAAGAGGCTCATCATGAACTCTGGATGCGTAACCCTACATCTGCCCTCTGAGTTTGGGTTTATTGTTAATATCTTATACTATTCTTTCCTTTGGGTAAAAAAAAAAAAGTCTGAAAAGAAGCAACATTTTGGAATAAGAAATGCCATCTCACTGCCAGGATTGCCTTTTCTTCTAGACCCATAACGTGATAAAGACAGAGCTCTCAACATACAACACCTGGAGAACATCACAGGTCACTGTGAGTTAAATTGTTTTAATGCAATGGAGCTACTAAAATACATATATTTGTTAAGAAAATTACAAAACTAACAAATTTTTTTCTCCAGAATTATAAAAGATAAAATCTATGATTCAGTACTCTAATGTGATTACAGAAAAATAGCCAACTGAAGTAAAAAAAATCCGAGGCTATCTATAACATACTCCCAATCTACTTCCTGAGGTCTTAATACTTTCCGCCTGCTCTGAGGACCAAGCACGTCAACACCTTAGACACCCATTACCGCACCCAAGGGTGGATCAACAATCGCCCCTGTCGTTGTGGTAGAAATCACGTAGCACACAACCCTTGCTTCATTCTTCAGGATATTCTTTTAAGCGATTGGTTCTTTTTGACATTGGTTCTTTTAAAGGTTAACAGAAGGTGTCAGGAAAAGATTCCCCGGAATTCTTTCGTAATTCCAGAAAGACATCTTACTTTCATTCCTCCTCCCTCATCAAAATTTTTCTTTTTAAAATTGCAATTGACAACTCACATAAGATTTAATTAATTTCCTTAAAATAAGAGAGGGCTTCTCAATCACGTTTCCCCTCCTCTAGAAAACTAAAAGGTTTAGTGAAACTCAGGGCCAGTAATTAAGAGGTTGATATGGTAAAATTCAAACTTGGACGTCAGTGTATCACACCCAGAAAAGATTTCATACACCTACAGACTTGTGCTTTGTTTCACACTGCACAAGAAACACAGGTTCACTTCAATTTCAGTGTTCACCTTTAACGCAGACTGTACCCTGTGAGAAACAGCCACAAGCAGTCTCCTTGTGCAGACCTCAGTGTTTCCTGGGAGGTAAAGCAAACACCTTCTCTAGGAGATTCTCTCCCTTCTGAGAAAACTCTCTCCCACACACTTTACATTCGTCAGATTATGTATAAAGAAATCACGGCACTGAAAGAAATTCTAGAGGACGATCGAAAACAAACTAGAAAAAGAAACGTAGAGAGTAGAGGGCTTTCCTTGCCCATCACACCTGCTCCAGGCAACCCTCAAAGGCAGACATCGGGCTCAGCAGTTGGCTCTGCTGCCTTTCCCTGTTCCCACAGACTTATTTTTCTCTGTAATAAAGCAAGTAGTATTTCAGGGGATCTGGCAGAGGGAGGCTCAGGACCTTCTCTCGTAGGAAGTTCACCGGGGGGTCTGGCTTTGTTTCAGGCAGGGTTTTCTCCTCTTCGTCCTGCCGTTCCTCTTCCAAGTCTTCCAAGCTATTGTCATCAGAGGGGTTGGAAATCCGACTGGCAAAGACCTCTTTGTCCAAAAAGACAATCGTTTCCATTCGACGGTGGCGAACTCTCCTCCGTTTAAACCTGGGAGTGTTCTTCAGTCCATTTCCACTTTTGCTCACTGTTTCTTGATGAATGATCTTTTTAATGGTGCCCCGGATGGCGATGCGAGCCAGGTCCTGGAGGCTGCGAACTGCCAGTGGTGCTGCGATGCAAAGAATGAGACATGTCAAACTCGTCTGTGACAACAACACAAAACCTAAACATCTGAAAATCCTAACATCCTCACATTTTCATTCACTGGCATATTTACAAATATACTACAAGAATATGATGTATTCTAGGCAAATGTCAATTAGTGCTCTAACTTGCATTCACATGGTACTTTTCAAAAGATAATACACTAACCTGTAACTTAGATAAGGAGAGGAAGAAACAATGCTTGGCTAATCAATCAGTGGCAGAACAAAAACCTGGATTACTGCTTTCTGCTTCTTTGACAGCCAGTTTCATTACTCTATTTATTGTGTTCATTTATGTATTCTCTCTCATCCAGTAGTAATACAGTGAATATAGGGCTCCAACATTCTTTTATCCATTTTAATATTTTCATAGTACTTTACAAATTGAGTATTTGTTCCTTTTTTATTAATGCAGAGAAAAGCATTTTTAAGAAGAAAACTTCAAACCACACCAAGGAAAAATAAAATCTGGCAAATAAAGTTCAATTTAATGCAAACAATACACACATGGCAATATAACGGCTTTTCTCAAAGGGAAAGGAATTGAGGGTTGCGTGTTTAAAATATTAAACTGAAACTCAGCATCACTTTTTCCCTCTAGTACCTAACTTCTCCAGAAGCCAACCACCTACACTACGGGGAGGGCTCTCAAGTTGGCTGCAGCATTTATTACCCAATCACAGGCCTGCACAAAATCTTGGCAGTGTCCATTGTTCATCAGAGCCCTGGAAAGCGCCCACACCCCAGGCTCTCAGCACTTTCTCCGCTTTATTAACACCAACCCTTCCCTCCTCGATGACGGGCTCCAGCACCTACCCTGCTACGGAAGACCACAGTCACGGCTTTCTGCTCGAATGCTGTCATCTTTCCTTCCCTCGCTCTACTGGCTGTTGCCCCTATGACTGCTGAAACGACTCTTCAGAGGTCATCACACCTCCCGACTGCCAGCTCTAGACTCTCCAGCTCTCCCTGAGGTGCCACTTGGGGGAACTAACTCGGTTGACTGTCCCCTGCCCGAGTCTCTGACTCCTCTCCCGCCCAGCCTGATGGTGTTCCCTAAGGTTCTGATTTCTACCATTTCCCCCTCTCCATTTGCCTATTAATCCTTGGTTTGACATCCATTCCATGGATTCAAATAACAGAGACTGGCCAATGGCTCCCAGCATTATAATCTAGTCCTGTCCAGCATCCTGAGCCATCCACAGACCCACATCTACAACAGATGATGGACACCTCAGGCTCCCACGTCCTTCCTCAGAAAGGCCCTATGTGCCGGCCCCTGAATCCTATCCACTGTAGAGGCCAGTGTCTTAATTTCAATCTTTATCTCTTGCCTGGAAAATCCCAAGAGCCTCCTAACTGGTTCCTGCCTGCAGTCTGTCACCTGTCCATCCACTTTGAGGCTGACCCCATCTACCCCACACAGCACATGTCTACACCCACATGACCTCTGGCACAAAAAGATAGTTACAAATAACTGGACTGTTCACTTCAGGAGCCCTAATAGCATCACATGATTGTTCATCACCCAACATTTGCTTTGAAGCCCTGGCCTCAACACCTACCTCTAAGGGTGTGTTCCACATTGTCACGATTCTTATCCAGCCCTGATCAAACCTTCACACCAAGAGATTTATCTTCACCCAGACCCTCAAAAAGCCTCACAGATACCCCAACTGTGCCCTCACCTTCCAAAACTCTGCTATGTCTCTGGAAGGTGGTGCCCTCCCCAACCTCAGCAAGTGCTTGCTTACTTGTTCAGGTGGCATTTTCAGGGAGCGTGCACTTGACAAACTCACCTCCGCCACCACCAGGGTGATCCAGAACACAGAGGCACCAAAACTTTTATTTTATTTTTGTCTGTCTGTATGTATGTATGTGTTTATTTTTGTGAGGAAGATCAGCCCTGAGCTAACATCTGCCAATCCTCCCCTTTTTTCTCGAGGAAGACTGGCCCTGGGCTAACATCCATGCCCATCTTCTTCTACTTTATATGGGATGCCACCACAGCATGGCTTAACAAACGGTGCGTCGGTGCGCGCCCGCGATCCGAACCTGCAAATCCCGGGCTGCCGCAGTGGAGCTTGCACACTTCACCGCCGTGCCATGGGGCCGGCCCCCACAACTTTTATTTAAAGCATCTGATGGCTCCCCACAGCCTACGTGATAAACTCAAGTCTGACCTACATACCAGTCTGGTTTCTGCCACACCCTTACTCCAACCACACCAGGGAACATGCCTGTGGAAAGTCTCCTTACCTCTGCTAACGGTTTTCCTCTCTTTCTTCTCTCCTGAGGGTAGGTCTTCTCACCCTTGAAGACCAAGCCCAGACGCCACATCCTCTGTCAGACCCTCCCTGATCCCTCTCAGCCCCTCTGTTACCACCTTTCAAGGACCACGTGTATTTCACGTGACTTGCACTTAGCAGAGACCACGGCAGAACATCACTATTCAATTAATGACTCCTCATAAGTTAGAAAACAATTCTGGAATGAATTCGCCAACATGTATCACCTTTGGGTGGTGGGATTACAGTTACTTTTTCCTTCCTATTTTTTTTTTTTTTTTTGCGTTTTCCAAATTTTCTAAATAATCATGAAGCAGAGTGCATGCTGAATGATTTTATTTTAAATAAAATCATTCGCAATTCTCATTACTGAGTGAATTTTTGTTTAAATTATAAAACAACATTTGGATGAATGCTGGCCCTGATGTCAGCTCCTTGCTCGGTCTCCATCCTGAAGGAGTGAAGCCAGGCTGAGCCAGGGAAGGCTGCACAGCAGGCCTCCCCCTCGCACACCAGCAGACCAGCTGGACGTGCACCCACAAGGCCACCCCAGGGAGCAGAGGGTCCGTCCCATGACTCTGCAGGAGCCCTCTAGCTCGGCGAACATGCTTTCTCTGTAAGACCTCTCCATATGACAGAATTAACTCCCTTTTATGTGTACTTCTGTTTTCAATGGCATGACCAGCAATAGCTCTCTGCAGATTTAAAAGAAGGCTAAAATAACCTAAAATAGGCTAAAAATAGATTATAATTTTTAAAATGCCTAAAAATCACTTGTAGAATTTTAAAGTTTTAGTGGAGGGAAAAATGCTCTTTAATATTAAAAAGTTCCTTACAAATTTAGTTTCCCTTCAGAGTCTAATGAGACTAAAAAGATCTAAAAGATAAGCAAGGATCTTTGTACTTACGTAACTGGACAAGTCTTGATTTTCCTGACTCTGAGTGGCAGGGCTGAATCAGAGGAGCAAAAGAAACAGCCAGGATCTTTTTGGTTTCCCAAGCAGAAGGACCAGTACGCGTTATCTTAGTCAACTATCCCAAAGACAAAATGAGAATATTCAAAAGGTTTAGCTACTGGTAGCTTATATTTAAATATAATCATTCCTATATATAATCTAAAAAAGAACAGATACACTAACAATGAAATAACATGATAATATGAGCCCCTAACGTGCTGTGACATGAAGTACACATAACGTATTAACAATCTTGCAAATACATTTAGCCTGAATATATTTAAGCCTCTAGACCTAACTTCTGTTTACAGGAAATATACATGAGGAAGTTAAAGGATAACAAGAGGAAACAATCAGATAAGGAACATGGGGACTCTGATGAGACAACTTTCTTGGGCTCTCCAAGAGAGTCCATGTTGGGGGAGAAGTCAGGAGAGCGGCTGTTCTAAAGTAAAAGCTATCAAAGACGTACACAACCACCCTCAATGCTTCAACCCAGACTGAATCCTGGGTGTTGTTTCTGGAGGACGGGAACTATAAAAAGATCTTCCTACAACAACTGGGGACTCATGACCATGCACGGAACAACAGCTACCACTCCAGAATCACTGTGACTTCCTCAAAGATGACCACGCCATCCTGGACATGCAGGAGCTCATCCTCACTCTTCGGAGATGTACACTGAAGGGTTTCCATGAGTTTCTCAGTGACGTCACCCCCCAACACACGTAGAGTTAGGTGGCTAGCACACTGCGGCGTAGGTCATCCAAACATTTCTCATGAATCACAGTATTAGGGGCACCAGAAGAACCTGATCAGATGACATGGCCCTCCTGTGTGTTCTGTGCCAGTCTCCCAACAGCCTCAACAGGTCACAGGACTATTTTTGGTCAGCTCTGACATGCTAAGATTATATGCTCTCTCGTCTAAAAATATCCAAGCCAGCAAATCCTCTAAAAACTAAGACTCTATGTCATGAATCTTAGAACTAAAACAACTAAGTAGCCATGTACTAGATAAACATCGACAAGTTACTCATATTCTTATATACCAGCACAAATTTTTTTTTCAAAAACATTTTTTAAAAGAATTTCTAGTTATAATGAGCATCAAATATTTAAATATAATCAATAAATGATGTGTGAAACCTTAAAGAAAACCATAAATCCCTATTTCATGTTCCAAATGAGCAATGAAATATTGAAAAGTAGTCTACAATCCTCAAATTAATCTAGATGTAACACAATTCCAATAAAAAGTCCAACACATTTTTGTGATACAACAAAGATTTCTAAAATCATTTGTATACGTAAAGCCATATTTAAACCAATACTCTGAGTGAGAAAGGAGCACAGATGGGGAGGTCTACACAGCATACACTTCGACCTACTAAAAGCAGCAGTAATGAAACAGACAGGACTGTCAGCAAGGGCTCCTCGTCCACGCTGCTGAGAGCATGGCCTGTGAAAGGGCAGCTGGCAAAGTGAGAACACAGAATCTCTGACTAAGCACTCCTGCCTCTGAGACTCGCCTGGAGGAGATCACGGATATAGATCAAGGTTGAGACGAAGAATATCCACAAAAAGATATATGCATAGCTTCTTCACAGTAGCACTGTTTGTAATAGCAAAACGCTGGAAGGAACCCAAATGCCCATCAAAAAATCACATCATTATATACTAATAAAATTTTTTAAACAAACAGAATAGGGACAAAAGACTTTCTAGTTATAATGAACATCAAATACTTAAACAAGAAAAGATGTATACAACTTAAAACCATCAACTCCTATTTCATTCATATCTGGGATGGGTGGAAGGAATGGAAAAAAGTGGGCAAATCTCCACTGAAGGAAGGTTATGAAGAGATGTGTTTGCTTATATACTTTTATTTTATTTTTTTTAAGTAGTTGGCAACTTTTATTTATTAATTTATTTTCTTGTGAGGAAGATCAGCCCTGAGCTAACATCCATGCCAATCTTCCTCTTTTTGCTGAGGAAGACTGGCCCTGGGCTAACATCTGTGCCTATCTTCCTCC